AGGCCAATTGATAAAAATAAATAAATAAAGACAGGATAACTGATTTTTGATGTAGCTAAGAGAACCTTGGAACAGGAAGTAGAAAATCCAGATATGAAACCCAGATCCACTGCTTACTAACTGTATGAATTTGAACACATCACATAACTTCAATAAATTTCAATTTCCTCACTTCCAGAATATCAAAAAGCTTTTTATCTTACTAGGGTCATTTCAAGATTAAATGAGATAATAGTTCTTCAATAAATAGATTTCCTTCCTTTCATTTTCTCCTCTGACGCCACCTCTATTTGGTCTTGAAGGAATTGGTTATAAACCAACTCAGAATCAGCCATCAGAAGCTCTATGATTCTAAAGGTTTTGTAATGAGAAGTGGAATACCTGATTTTGAGGATTATCCATGGCCTTTCCTCTTCCTCTTCCTTTCTGCTCATCAGTCTTTTACTATACACTAGCACACCAGAGGGCAGGCAGAAAAATAGAGAGGACACAGTAGATTGCTTATGAAATTTTGCTAAATTGATAAGGAATAAATGATGTAAAATCAAGTAGTTGAGTTATATTTTAAGAGGTAAATCAATATGGCCAGACTATAGGACACTTTTAACAATCCCTTCGAGTGGACAGAAAACTTAATGTAGTCACTTCATGAAAAAAAATTCCAAATTTTATATTCAAAATAACAAACCAGAAAAGAATCCTAGGGGTCACTGTCAATCATTTTCCAAAGACATGCCAGTTTTTTTGCTACAGGAAAAAGCCTACATGATTTTGAGTATCTCTGCAATAAAGGAAATAGAGGTTATTATCCCCTTCATGAAGAAGGCTGTGGAGCCGGTGCCTCTAAAATATTTAGTCTAGTTCTGTTTGCTATAATGGCAGGAATACATAATGAAACTGGAGGCAAGCCAGAGAAAAGAAGCCAAATTGGCAGGTGAAAGGAGGACTAGAAGCACTTAAATTCTTAGAAAAGAGTCCAGCATATTCCTGATAGGAATCAGCATATTCCTGATAAGTCATAAATAGTTTAAGTTATCAAAGGCCTATTATATGCTGGGGACTGACTAGAATGCTTCCCTTTTTTGCAGCCTCTTTCAAATTATCACCTCCAATATATCTCATATGCATACACTTCTCTTCTATCCACTGCCATCACCCTGGCTCAAGTCATCTTTCTTTCTCATTGAGGCTACTGCAATAGCATTCCAACTGGTCACCCTCTTCTACTCTGCTCCTCATAACCATGTTCCAACTTCCCAATCCATTGCCACCAGCGTGCTTGTGAAACACAAATTAAATCTTGTTGTTGGCTTACATAGAATACTTCAATGATTTTCCATCTACTTCAGGATCAAGTCCAAAGTAAAAACATGGCCCCAAAAGATTCAGCTCCTCCCTCCTTTACTAGTAGCCCCTCCCTTTACTTTTCCTTTGGCTCACCAAGGTCTATCCACACCGGCTTTCTTTCAGTTCCCAGAACAGCCAAATGCTTTTCCATATAAAAATAACCACCACCACCACCATTACAGCTTAAATTTCTCAAGTTTTTATTATGTGAACGGCTCTGTGCTAAGTGCTTTGAGTGCATTACCATGTTTAATCCTCACAAGAAACTCTTTGAAGTCGTTATTATTTTTATCATTTTACTGTTGAGAAAACAAATATTTAGAGAAATTAAGTAATTTCTCTAAAGCAAAATAAGACCAAAGGTGGAAATCTGTTATATTGCATATTCCAGGAATGTTCTTTCTCCCCACTCTTCCCTAGCTAGATCATCCCATGCTTTATGGTTACAACTCGTATGTCATTTCCTCAAAACAGACCTCTCATTTTCTGATCTAAATTTGGCACCTCTGTCACAGTCCCTTAAACTTCTCCTCTATAGAATGTATCATAGTTTATAATTATGTATTCTTTATGCAGGTATTTATTTAAAATCTGTCAAACCTCCAAGAGACTATAAATTTCGTGAAGGCAAGGATAATATGAATATAAATACAAATATCTGCTGAATAAATGATTGAAGAAAGTCACCCAATATTCTAAGAATGAGGTGTTGAATCACTCCATAGGAGAGTCTGAATGTTAGAAACTCTATTAAAATATTTTTGCCTGCAAAGAAAGCTGTCCCCTTATAATGTCTATCTACTGATCCTAGTTCTCTTGATCAATACTAAAAAACTAGATTCTTTTCTCTTTTATACCTCTTCAAATACTTTTAGCCTAGAAAGTTAAAGACAAAGAGGACTGGCAATTAAGGTGGGATAATTCCAGATTCATAAAAAAATAGTATGCTAGAGTGAAGAGGATGAGGGGCATCTTTTGGAATTACAGACTTTTTAGGGTACATTTATAGAAATTAATTATTTGCCTACAGTAAATGAATGTAAGAAGTACATAGACATGAAATATAGGTGGGGCTACTGCGCTTGGCATGCTGTATCACAAACTGGGTTCTAATTTGTATAGATCTAGAAAGAAACAAAACTGGAGGAAGTCCAGTTAAAGGTAATTAAAAGACTGTACAAAAAGATTGGGAAAAGTAAAAACTAGCTATGCAATTACAACTAACTTTAGATATCCCCAAATTACAAGACTGATGTCAGGAAGTGCAATCATATCTTCCCATATCTCTTATGAGTTTTGTTAACAAAACTCTGGATTAGATGAGCTATATTTCTAAGATTTTAAAATTAATAAGATAAAATAAAAGCTGGAGATTACCAAGAGCCAAAATAAAATGTTCTTTAGGCATTTTATATATTTTAATTAACTCAGTATAGTCACTGAAGTTTTTTCTTTTTAAGTCTATCTCCCATCCTTAATGACAAAGACAGAACCTCAAAGATGAAAAGGCCCTCTTGTTTGATAATATATTTGATGTTTGAAGTCTCTCTACAACTTGTAGTCCAAGTGGCTGTTAGTTAACAAGTAAATATCCTCAGCTATATTAAATGACTTGATGATGGGGCGATCCTTAAATCATCACATACACTTTAAATATCTTATAACTTTGTCAGTTATACCTCAATAAAGCTGGGGTATGATGTTTTGGATTTTGAGATTTAGATTTTGAGTTTGGATCTCTAGGTTTAAATCTCAGTTCTGTGATTTATTAGCTATGTAACTTTGAACAGGTTACTTACTGTGCTTCAGTTTCCTCATTTCAAAAACTGGAATAACAAAATGTGTCTTTTAAAATTGTTTGAGAATTAAATGCAAAGCCACAATATTAAACATCACTTTGTATTATGCTTGGCATATAGCAAATGCTCAATAAATGTTAATCTCCCTCTAATAAGAGGAATCCAATCTCTGCCAAGACAGTCCATTTCCACTTTAGACAGAACTGGCACTGGGTTCTTATACTGTATGGAACTAGTCCAACACTACTAATAAGTAATAACACTTAGAAGTTTAATATATGATGTTATATTAAGAAAAGATGCTCTTGGGGTGCCTGGGTGGCACAGTCGGTTAAGTGTCCGACTCTTGGTTTCTGCTTAGGTCATGATCTCAGGGTTGTGAGATCAAGCCCCACATCTGGCTCTGGGCTCAACACTAAGTCAGCTTCAGATTCACTCTCCCTTTTTTTCTGCCCCTCCAGCTCATGCCTCGCTCACTCTCATTCAAATAAATAAATAAATAAATCTTAAAAAAAAAAATTGGTATTTTTTAACTTTGGCTATTAATTCTAGTTTATATATATTTCTTAACAATTTGTCACTCAGAAATGGTAGAATTTAATCTCTTTGAGTGACCTTGGAGAAATATGAGTTACAATTATATTTGAGAAGAACTCTTGAATAATCTTATTGATGTAAATGTTCCACTGGAATTACCTTCTCAGTAAAAACAAGAACAAAAAATTCTCTTTCTAGTGATTAAGGATTAATTGGTATGGCAATGATCTTTCAAGACTAAAGGGATTCTCTCCTTATTTTTTTTAAGAATTAATGACAAAAAATAAGAGTATCAGAAATGTATTGCTGTTTTATCACAAGACCAGGAAATATAATTGTTGATTACTTGATATTGCAAAACAATTTTTTAGAAAAGTTTATTTTTATTTAAGTCATAAGATAGGTTAGAAGGAAAAGAATTTGCTCATTTAACTATTAAATGGTACCACTTGTGTTGTGATAACCCAGTGCACTTTGTAAATAAATTCACTTGCCTTGCATCAATGTAATTTACTACTTTATAGATGTTATATGTGTTCATTTGTTAGAAAATATTTTAGTTGGCTTTCTCCAGTACAGATAATAAAATTATTTCTAACATATATGATTCAAATACAACACAAAGTCTCCTACTACTACAGAAATGTAAATTTAAACAAATCAAACTTTTTTTGAGGAAAGAAATTACAATATGCTTTCCAATACTTTACCTCTTAGCTTAATCTTCCAAATCTAAAGAAAAATATTTTCAGATTTAATAGCTTACTATTTTATGGCTTGGTAAGTTATAGCTTTTTAATAATGAAAAATGCTAAGGTCAAATTTAGATTGAAATGATCAGAACTAAAATTAAAGACCAAGTATTAAAAATAAGAATGCTCCTTGTATTATAAATATAATTTATATTGGACAAAAATATCAGTAACTCTATTTTCCCTCATTTCTCTTGTAAATCATGTAAGATCTGTTATATCACAAGTGACTTTAAATTTGTAGGAGCTAAGAATTTTTTTTTTTAAAGATTTTATTTATTTATTTGACAGAGACAGAGACAGCAAGAGCAGGAAGACAAGCAGGGGGAGTGGGAGAGGGAGAAGCAGGCTTCCCGCTGAGCAGGGAGCCCGATGTGGGACTCGATCCCAGGACTCTGGGATCATGACCTGGGCCGAAGGCAGCCGCTTAACGACTGAGCCACCCAGGCGCCCGGAGCTAAGAATTTTTTATTCTGAATTTTATTAAGCACAGATAATGGTTAACATGACTCCTAAACATGCTTACAGATGACAGTAAAAATAAAAGAGCATAAAATAAGCTTACTGTTTCACCAATCTTTCCAATGTTTCCTTGATCTCCTACTTCGCCCTGTTAATATAAAGATGTAAAAATGATTATTTTTCAAACAAGATCACTCATGACATTCCTTCCATTTTCATTTAATGTAATTAGTCAAATTCTTAAAAAAAGCAAAGAAAACCTTATTCAAAACTCTGTTATAGTATTTCTGTGGAACATAGTCTTTCTACTATTGCTTAAAAGACCCAGACTTGATGAAGATATATACATACATATATGCATAGATATGTATATATATATAACAAATAGATAATATATATATATTTAGTGAAGTTATATTAATTTGTAGATTTCTGTCCAGTGAAATGGACAGCCCCCCAAATTGTGGTTTATTCTCCTATATCTCACCACAAATTTAACAATTTATTAAACTGCATATCTATCCAAATAAAGATATAGACATAAACACAGTCACAGTTATAGATATTTATAGACACAGATCTCTAGATGTAGATCTAGATATAAAGATATATAACTTTTCAAATGCTATTTGAGCCAGTTTTAACATATCACTGGTTCCCTTATTAATAAGTTGAATAAAATCTTAGATGTTCATTTTATATTTTTAGAAAGTAATAATTTTATCTTTCTGAAAACTATACTTTATAACTCCTAATAAGTCAGCTACTTTACCTTTAAGCCTTCTGGTCCTGGTTCACCTGCAAAACCCTTTTGACCAGGTTTTCCCTAGAAGAGAACAGAAAAAAAGAGATACGTTTAATCATTTTCATTTTTGGAAACTTCCAAACATTTATGAAATTCAGACCATTCTATGAGATGAAACCCTTCAAAATCACTTGATAAATGTATTTTAGCATACCCACTAGTATTCATTCTGCGGTCTTTAACTGTCTACTATGAGCCCTGCACAGTTCTAGGGGTTGGGGATTGAGGAATGCACTAAGCCTACCTGCCTTCATAGAGCTTACATTCTAATGAGGATGATACCATTTAATAAAATAAGTAAAATATATAGTATGTTAGGTAGTGGTAAATGTGAATGACATAGAGTTAAGCAAGGAAGGGGGATATAAACTGTTGTGGGAGTTTTGTTCAAATTTATGATAAGCTTGACAAGGAAGACCTCACTGAGAAGATGGCAGCTGAGTAAAGACTCACAAGGGACAAGTTATATGACTATCTGAAGGGAGAATATTCCAAGCAGAGGAAAAGAGCATGTGCAAAGGCCCTGAGCCAAGAATGTGACTGGTGTGTTGAAGAAACCATGAAGAGTCAATAAAGCTGGTGCAGAGTAAGAAAGGAGATTAGTAAGAAGATGAGGTCAAAGAAAGGAATGGGGAATGAGAAGCCAGGTCATGTAGGGCCTGGAGGGTTACAGTTAGGGCTTTGCTTTTTACTCTGAATGAAGCAGGAAGACTTAGAAAAGCTTTGAGAAAAGTAGTGTCATTATCTATGTTTTAAAAGGATCACTTTGGTGCAAGGGTGGAAGCAGGCAGTCCAAAGAGGCCTGAAATAATCCAAGTGAAAGATGAAAGTGGCATAGACCAGGGTGGTAACAGAGGAGGTTGTGAGTAGAACTGTGTATGTAATTTGAAGGTAGAGCTTACAGGATTTGCTGACAGGTCAAGTGTAAAATGTGAGAGAAAGAGAAGAATCAAGAATAAACTCGGGCACCTGGGTGGCTCAGTCGGTTAAGCGACTGCGTTCAGCTCAGGTCATGATCCTGGAGTCCCGGGATCGAGTCCCGCATCGGGCTCCCTGCTCAGCGGGGAGTCTGCTTCTCCCTCTGACCCTCCCCCCTCTCATGCTCTGTCTCTCTCATTCTCTCTCTCTCAAATAAATAAGTAAAATCTTTAAAAAAAAAAAAAGAATAAACTCAAGATTTTAATCTAAGTAAGAGACTAAATGAAATGAGGAAGACTCTAAGAAGAAAGGTTTGGAGGGTAAATTGAGAGCTCAGTTGTGGACACTGTAGTTTGATAGTCTTGTTAGATATTTAAAGAAGAGAGATCTTGTGGTAGTTTTACATGTCCAGAGATTCAGAGGGTAGAAAATTCTGATCTGAACATATGATTTGGGCAATCACCAGCATTCTGATTGTATTTAAAGCCCTAAGACTGGACCACCTCATCTAGGAGTGAGTGTAAATAGAAAAGAGACCAAGTCCACAAACCAAGCCCTGGGTTTTGTGGATTTACAAAATTTTGGAATTTGAAGAAATGAGGAAAATATGCACATTTCCTGCCAGAGAGTTAGGAAGAAAATCATGTAAGTGAAGAAAGTGCTTCCAGGAGGAGGGTGTGATCTTGTCAAATGACCATTGAATTCAGCAACATGGAAGTCACTGATGACCTTCATAAGATCATTTGTTTTGGAGTGGTGGGAACGAGAATGGTTTCAGCAGATAGGGTGAGGAGAAAAACTGTAAAGAGCACGTATAGACAATACTTCTGAAAATTTTTTACTGAAAAGGTAAGAAGAAAAAGGTAACACCTGGAAGAAAACCTGGGATCAGTATGTTTTGTTTTATGGTTTTCAAGCTGGAAGAACTAATAGCATCTTTCTTTGCTGATAGGATTGATCCATTAGAGAGAACGAAATTAAGATGCAGGTGAAAGTGGGAAATAGCTGGGTCAATGTTCTTCAGTAGGCCAAAGGGTAAGATATTTAGTACACAAGTGGAAGATTTGACCTTAGCTAGAAAAATGGCCTCTTCATCCACAATAACAGGAGGGAAGGCCAAGTAAATGGTATAGATAAAGAGAAGATAGAAGCAATAGTAGAAACTTGTTGAAGTTCTCTGAATACTTCAATCTTCTCAGGGAACTAGGATGCAAAGTAATGGGCTAAGAATGAAAATTAGAGAGAAATGAATGTAGTTGAGAAGAGAGAAAGTGTAAAATAATAATTAGAAAATTAAAAGTAAATGAGAGGGGCTGGGGGCTGGGGGATTAAGCATCTGCCTTCAGCTCAGGTCATGATCTCAGGTCCTGGGATGGAACCCTGCATCAGGCTCCCTGCTCAGCAGGGAGTCTGCTTTTCCCTCTGCCCCTCCCAACCTTGTGTGCGTGCTCTCTTTCTCTCTCAAATAAATAAATAAAATCTTTAAAAAAAAAAAAAGTAAATGACTATGGGAATAAACTTCAGAATGCAATCAAGGGGATGATTTAGTGTTTTAAGCATGAGGAGGGATGTGAGGTCTCTGAGGAAAACAGGAATAATGGAAAGGCAATAGGATCACTAGCTTAAATTTCCTATTGGGACTGTTGGATTGGTTACACGAAAGAATGAACTAGAAAGAAAGGAGATTATGGTTGGGGAGTGAGAAATAAGGAGGTGCTATTACTGGTAATGACAATGTAAAGGTTATGACTACAGCAGGTAGTGCCTAAAGAGAGTAGAGAATAAGATCACTGAAGAAGAGGAAGTCAAAATCCCAGCTATTGGTAAATCAATCCATAGTATGTGGTTTCTAGCATCAAACAACTGGTATCTGATTATACAAAATTTGATTAAGGAGATCACTATGCCACAATCAATGTGTGTGACAAATTCAAATCTAAGAGTAAAAAACACGTGGGGGGCAATTGCTAAACAGAATACTAATTTATAATACCTACCAGGTATTATAGATTTGGATTTTATTATTCCTATCCATTAACAAATACTCTTATTTTTTCTTTCTTAAAACAAAACAAAACAATCCTCCAGCTTTCACTGTATTTTGACTACATGTAAAAACTTTAGCAACTTAAAAATTATATTTAGGACTTCGATCAAAAAAGTTGCTCTAATTTTTACCTCCGCCTTGCTTGGAATTGTCTAGTGGTTTTCTACCGAGCACAAAGAAAAGCAAAGAATAAAAAATCATCCTATTATTGTGAAATATCAATTGCTCTCTAAACAGAGATAGGAGAAGAAATGTAATTAAGAGTCTGAATTACTAGATTTGTCTATGATATTTACAAAAAAGTTTTAAAATGATACACTTTATTCACATTGTTTTGGAAAAAGCCTTAGTGAGAATATTTCTTTCATCTCTAATAATGTAATACTCAAGCATTACAGTATATTAAGAAATAGTTATACATCATATCTACATTATGAAAGGAATCTCACTGGAATCTGTATCAGCACATTTAAAATCTCTTTGAAGTCAAGAAATTCAGGGCATCAGTGCTGGAGTCATTACTTCTGGTCCTGTTTAAGTTCTGCCATATTTGGTTTATCTGAGCATGTTACACTTGAGCACGTAAGAGTAAGGTCTTATTTTAATATTTTTAAAATGTGGACAATATCCTGCAGGGCTGTTTGCAGGATTAGAGATGAGTTATGTGACATACTTAGAGAAATACTAGGCTTAAATTGATCTTCAACCAATAGTAGCAACAATAGTAATACATATTAAGGCTGAGTTGATAAGAGGCAAACGCGGTTCTCCTGTTTTCTAGAGAAGTAAATTTTAAATGAGATCAATTATACTGGGCTCAAATAACAATAGTCTTCCTGTTATATAACTCAACTCACAAAAAATGAAATAAAAATTCTTCTTTTTCTTTAAGTGGGATAGGGTAGTATATGTGCTAGTGAGGTAAAGGTGCAAAAGAAAAATTTACTGTCTCCTTAAATGTAAAAATGTTTTAAGAATCTGCATGTTGGGCGCCTGGGTGGCTCAGTTGGTTAAGCGACTGCCTTCGGCTCAGGTCATGATCCTGGAGTCCCGGGATCGAGTCCCACATCGGGCTCCCTGCTCAGCGGGGAGCCTGCTTCTCCCTCTGACCCTCTCCTCTCTCATGCTGTTTCTCTCTCTCTCTCAAATAAATAAATAAATAAAATCTTTAAAAAAAAAAAAAGAATCTGCATGTTATGACGTTCTCAAGAAAAAAGAATGGGATGTATTTCATGTGAGTCTAATGGTCCCTCTTAAAATAAATGTGATACACACACTTTAATTACTTCGTAATAATGTAAGCTTTGGTCATGCATGCCCAAATTCTTAAATAACTCATTTTCAGAACTTGAAAACAGGTAATTCATATATTACGACACAAATTATCTGAAGAAAAAGTTGACAGAAAATACATCTTAGTTTCCATAATTTTACTGGCACACTTAGAAAACAGAAATTCCCAGAATATCACTAAAATGGCTAAGGTATTTAGCTTTCTATTACATTTTGAGAAACTTTATAATTAGCACAAATTACTAAGACCGTAAAACTACTGAAGGAACAAGCAAATATGCAGTAGTCATATCATTTAAAATATTGCTGGGAAATTCCAGTTATAAGCCTATATTATTTGGATAGACTGTATGGTTATAGTGTCTTTGTCCTTTATTATAACTTAAAATTTGGTGCTATTAAAAGACATTCACATAACAGTTATTTTAAGAGAAGCACTTTTTGAAAAGTATTTATATGATACCTACTTTTGGCCCCAGTTCTCCAAAGGGTCCAACTGGTCCTTCTTCTCCCTTAAAAAAAAAAAAAATCAGAACATATCATGGCCTGAAATAAGTATTTAAAAAGGTAAACCCTTATTCTATTTATTCTGAAATCTGAAACTCACTGAGATATGATGAAAATAATGCTGTGACTTTCTTGTATTTTTTTAAAAAGATTTTATTTATTTGAGAGAGAGAGAAAAAGAGAGAGAGACCAAGCAAGAGTGGGGGGATGGGCAGAGGGGCAGAGGGAGAAGTAGACTCCCTGCTGAGTGGGGAGTTGGAAGTGGGGCTGAATCCCAGGACCTTGAGATCATAACTTGAGCCCAAGTCAGATGCTTAATCCACCTACCCACCCAGGTTCCCCAACTTTCTTGTATTTTACTGTGCCATCCCATAACATTTTAATATTCTGAGTAACAACCCCACATCTACCCTAAAGGGGACATGCACTATTTGACTGTTTTTAAATTGGTAGATGATAAAAGTTACATATAGAAAGTTTAGAATGAATAAGAGTGAAAGTGATTAGGATATATATCACAAAATCAGGATATCTGAAGGGGGTTAATATCTAAAACATATGAAGAACTTATACAACTCAACACCAAAAGCCCAAATAATCCAATTAAAAACAAGGACCTGAATAGACAACTTTCCAAAGACAACATACAGATGGCCAACAGACATATGAAAAGATGCTCAGCACCCCTAATCATCAGGAAAATGCACATCAAAACCACAACAAAGATTAAGAATCACTGAAATCATAAATTAAGGATAACCTTTACTTTCTTGGGCTCAGTATTTCTCCCATACAGAGAGGAACTCAATTAAGTTCTTAATAGATGGAAATCAATATACCTTGGTATATTAAAAAGTTATTGGTACAGGACATGTTTGCTCTTGGCACATTTTAATACTTCATTCATTCAATAAATATGGTTTTGAGTCTTAGTTCTGTTTTCAGCCTTAGAGATACAAAGGTATATTGGATCCTACCGAATGGAGTTAATATCTAGAGCTTCTTCTTGACTAATTTATAGGTCTAATATTCTTGGGGTGAAACCAGTTATAATGTCATAAAAATGCAAAATCTTGTGCATTCTTCTAAGGATCAAAAAATTTATGAGTGGATAGAGAATAGAGAAACATCAAAAAAAGAATTTTTATATATTATTCTCTAAGAAAATTAAAAATTAATAAATTTTTTATTACATTTATTGACATATTTTCTAAAACATACTGACTTTTCACCTTTAAATAAAAAGTTGATGTTACCATATCTGAATAGCATCCATAGACCTATTTAGCAACATGTATTCTATTTTATTTATTTGATCAACAAACATTTTGTTCAATTCACAATTCAATTAAAATAAAATTTACTAGGTCACAAATATAAAACAGATACAAATAGTAAATATATATTCTAGTATATATGAGTGAGATTCTAGCTCATATTCTTCAGATATTCCATGGAGGTCACTGACATAAATTACTTAATGAATTTACAACACTGAAAATGATTCCCAAATCCCATTCCATAACTGCCAAGATAAAATGATAACCTGAAATCCTCTATGGCAAAAATTGTCCACACTAAAGCAATGTTTTTCTTTACACAAAAAATAAAAAGGGAAAATTTGAACTAAAACAATTGCTGACTGGATATTTATTTCTTCCATACCTGAAGTCCTTTGAGACCAGGTGGTCCAGGAGGCCCCCTATTTCCAAGGAGTCCCTATAAAAGCAACACAAGCACAAATAATAAAAACTTTATCTCAATTAATATTTTTCAATCAGCATTAATCTGGAGATGGTCAATACAATTTGGTACCATTCCTTTTCCATTATTAAGTTATCAAAATGAGGTCAGAGGGTAGGTGAGCAGGAAACTCCAGGGCATCCAAAAAATTGGGAAAGGTAGGATAAACATTTTTTTAAGTATGTTGGTGTTCAAATAATCTGCTCAGTATGTTACTCTTCAACCAGATACTCAGAAAAAGTACTTCTAAATTTAAAGCAATGAGTGCAATTGTTAATTTGATAATAGTACAATAAATACATAACAGAGTATCCACAAAGTCTAAAAACAGATGGAAGTGATATGCACTATTTTAATATCTGTTAAGAGACTAGCAGAATCCAGAACACATTATTTGCACTACATGTACCTCAGCTTATTTCCCTTCTTAATACAAGCTGGTAAAAAGAGGGCAATTTGCAGAAGAAAGTAACAATCTGAATGTGATTAGGAATTTCATGATTAAAAAAACTTTCGTTAATCAAAATCAAAATCAATGTTTTTAAAAATCAAATGCTCTCTGAATAAAAATTCATTAAAATCACTTTAAAAAAAGGGGCGCCTGGGTGGCTCAGTTGGTTAAGCAACTGCCTTCGGCTCAGGTCATGATCCTGGAGTCCCGGGATCGAGTCCCGCATCGGGCTCCCTGCTCG